CTCGTGCAGGGTTGTTCCAGAACAGTACCTTCGCTCCGAAAGGTATCTCAGCTTCATCAAAGGTCTTGTGAAACCTGAGGTACCATGGCGAATCGTTTCCGTTCAACTGCGGCAGGATGTTGGTCGCAACTGCATTGTGCTGGATTGCAAATGGCCACATCGACGGTGAGAACCCTGACTGAACAAGATTCACACGTGCTCCCTCCAACAGATGTCTGATTTCCCTTTCCACGAAAGATTTGGAAGAATCAACATCTTCAATGGAGGTCTGATGACGGTACCCCAACTGCTCTATTGCGGCTTTCAATTCCCGGGAGTTATCGGTGTAGAGAACCTCAACCTCATCCCTACCGGAAATGAAATGCTGGATCCCTGCAACGGATTGCTCCGTGCTTTTGCTGGTCGACGGATAAACGTACCTGAACTGCGTATGCACGTCCTTGATCACAAGAGCACACCATTCACCTTTGATACCTTGCTCGATGTTGGCCTTGAGAATCACATGATCAGCAATGATGTGATCTCCAAACGCTTTCGTCTCGAGCCTTCCCTGCCCGCCCTTCGATCTTGCATATGGGGCAAGCATCTTGGCACGTTGGCAAGTGCGGCAAAAGGGATTCTTCGGATAGTGTGCAAACAAGTGCTCTTTGGTACTCGCTTCGGCAACCAGATCTTGCTCTTTGCGGGATCTCACAAACCGCTCAACTTCGTCGTCGGGATCATCACCTTCGTCGATGCCTTCGTCATGAACCGGTGCAGGCGCTGGCTTGGATGCTGCTACTGCACTCAACGATGGCTCAGCTTCACAGCTAGAATCCATGTATGGCACATGACCGTCAACCTTGAGCTGGATCAGAGCACCATCAGGGCGAACCATGGTTGGCGCCTTCCCGGATTCCCAATGGAAGGAATATCCTTGATCCAGACACTTCACACCCAGCGACAGCACTGCGGGAGAACTCTCGAGGATGTAAGGCTGAGCAGGCTCACACAATGCATCGACATTGATGTCGGCGATTTCGGAAGCAGTGATGTTTCCGTTCGCAGTCACAAGGCGAATAGGCTGAGGGGCCTGTTTTCGGATTGCCTTGGACGCATTCCTCAGTGCAGCTTTGCTGATGAGGTCCTGCTGACTACCGGAATCAATAAGCCACACGTCCTTTCCCTTTGGTGCAGGGGTGGCTGCCCTTGGCGCTTCGACATCCTTGCGAACATCGTGAGGCGGCATGGCAATTCTCGCACGACAGGCTTGAGATGGAATCGGATTCCACATCGCACAGGAAACCACAAGCGGGCTGGGCTCCATTCTCAATGGCTTTGATTACGGCATTCAACTGGTTCGCGGCCTTGCGTGCTGCCTTGTTCGCCCCTTTGGTCGGCCTGGGGCAGTCCTTCGCATTTGGAAACATCCTGTTGTACTGCCGTTCCTCATACTCAAGCTTGAAACCATCGCCTTCGGCGGGGATCTCATGCACATGAGCATTAGTGTCAAACGACACCCCAATCGGATTGATCGGCTTTGCAAACATGGCGTACCTGGTGCAGACTGCAGCGGCTTTGGCCTTGGGCTTAGGCTTAGGTGAATTTGCACGCTTCTTAGCCGCAGGATTTGCATTGGCCTCGTTGCTCGATGCCGCGGCGGCTGATTTGCCGCCCGTGGAGGCATGGCTAAACTTGCATTTGTCACCTCTAGTGCACTTCCCTTGGGCAAAGAAAGAACACGGTGCTTTCTCTCCTTTATTGCCTTTGGGGGAACTCGGCCTGCCACGGGTCGCGGAGCGTCCTCGCGGCTCCTTGCGGTGCGCGTAAGGGCAGTTTGCCCCCCTCGTGCACGAGCCCTTCTGGAAGTCAAAGCAGTACTTTTCCTCGGTGTCCTTCGGCTTAGGTGCGCTCTTTTTCTTGGGGTCCCTCTTTTCAGGGGCGGCAGCACCAGCCTTGGGCGTCGGGGCTTTACTGGCATTGACTTTGGACACGCGCTCTCGGTTCTCGCGAAGCCTATCCCTTCGATTAGACCCCTCATGCAACGCATTAGGAAATCGTACGATTTGTTGGGATCATCATCACGGCAACGATCATATGTGTCAATGTCGTACCGCAACAGATGGCAGCTTCTCACTTGACGAAGCAAGATGTCTTTCAACACCTTTTCTTCCGGCGGCCTTTTCATGCCGGCGATCACGGAATCCCAAGCGTTTTGGAAACGCTTGAGATCAATGATTCCTTCGCCGTGTCGCGAGACACGCAACAGGTCCTCCAAGGAGTAGAGGTTTCCGGCTTCTTCACTGGTCTTGAAATATTGGTCAAACATAAACAAGACCTGCCTTCCTCTCATGGCCTTTCCCTCCTTGGCACATTCTTCCTTTGCTGTCAGGATTCGCTGAGCCAGATCGCCTTTCGCTGAACGCGTGAGCGCTGCGAGAATCTTCGTGTCTAGGGTCACGAATTTTCCCGGTTCGCCGAGCTCCTCCAACAGCTTCTTCTTGTCCTCGCGGTCGGACCAGACTTCCATGATCCAAGGCCAAGCCTCGTCTGGACGGTCAGATGCAGCGCGGACATCCTCACGAACCGATGTCTTCCATTCACGGTACGTTTCAGGAGTTGGCATCTCCTTGAATCGCAACGTCTCGCTTTCGCGGGTTCTGGGCTTTTCATCGTTCGTGTGGCCTTTCACTAACTTCATCAACATTTTGGCGAAGGCTTCTTGACCGAGGTTAGGCCCGAGGCCATCACCTTCGTCTTCATCACCATCGCCATCGCCATCATCATCAGGTGGCGGACCGCCAGGAGGCTTACCACCCTGCTTACGGTCAGTTGGCTTTGGCCCCTGAGAGAATTGCAGGGGCGGGACCGGTGCACTTGTTTTCACCGGGGATCGGCTGCTACCTGATGGCTTTTCAGCTGGTCCTTGCGGATCGCGAGCATCTGCGGGCAGTGCTTCGCTTTCGGCAGTTGGAATCACGCTAGGGGTATATTCAACCTCGTAACCGTCATAGGTAACAAGCGACCTCAACTTTTCCTTTGCATATTGAAATGGATTGGACAACGGGTCCAACATTGACCTTTGGGACCGAGCTGACTTCATGTCGTCGGTCATCAACTCTGGTGAATCCTCTCGGGTATCACCTACCTCTTTGGGCTTCGATCCATCCTCGCGGAGGTCGTGTTGCTTCTGATACCTTTTCAGCTCATCGAGCTCGTCCTGCAGAAGCCCGTTTTGGTAGGCCATCATATCGATCATCCTGGCGTTTTTCGCTTCGACACGGGCTGTGTCATCGGCGTGCTTTGCGGCTTGCTCATGAAGGAGCTGCTGGGCTTCCGCCAGGGTGGATTCGATGGCTTGCCTAAACTCAGTTGTTTTGTGTCCCATTTCCACTTCATGCAATGCTTGGGCGTTTTCCTCACACACTTGGCTTATCCTAGCTTCAGCGAAGTTCACCTCTTGGATGAACTCATCGCTCACTCGCTGTTCGTATTCACGAATTCTATGCGACTGGGCTTGCACACACTCAGCGTAGTGTGCATGCAGCTGATTCTGTGCGGCACGGAGCTCCTCACGGTTTTCCGCTTGCAAATGCATTACGGCTGCTTGATGCAGGGCTTCGGCTTCAGACCTAATAGCTGCATCATTCCCAAAAGCAAAGATTGCGGTATTGTACAGTTGAAGGGAATTCATAAGGGTGCGGTTATACTGCGCATTAGCGCTTGACGCGAACATTCGCGCACCGCTGCCGGTGGCGTTGTCGGAGCTAACTCCGGCAGCATCCACAGGCATGTTGGATCCATCAACTGGCACAAGGGAACCGTCCATTGCTTAGAGCTAGGGGCCTGCGGCTGATAACCTATAGATTCAAGGGTTACCGGTTTGGGGCCCAAAAGGAAACAACAAACCGTCCAAGTGCGCTGCTCGCACATTTGCACGCTTGAGCAGCCACACTGCGGATGCAACGGATGTAAAACCCCATATTGACCGATCAAATTCTTCAAGATTCCATCAGGATCACACTTGAACAATCTCATGCTCGGCCAAGTTCCGTTCAAGGTCCATGACCATCCCTCCAAGTTCGCTACTTGCTTGACTCATTGATGCCTGAAGGCCATGGATTCACCCAGACAACGCTTCTTTTGCAGCAATGCCTTTTTAGGACATACCTACTCAAAGGGGCAGGGTACTTCGTAAGTGGTTAGTAAGCCTGGTTATTGACCCACTTAGGACTCTCACAAGCATGGTGAGTAGCTTATAACCAGGCTTACCAACAACTTACTAAGTACCCTGCCCCAAACTGGGTTGGGGAATCCCCAGTTTGGGCTGTCTTCTGGAGGGCAGGTTTGGTTCCTACCCGGTTTCCTGGTTTAGGGTACCTATAAACAAGCCGTTCGCGTGCTGATAGAACCAACGTGGCAAATTTTGGGAGGCATCCATAGTCGTGGCTAGTTGCTTTGAAATAGGGGGACCATGCAACATGGACCATGCAACATGGATGCTATTCCTTTGGGCGGCCGTTTAAATGGGCATTCAAAAGGGTACCCTCAAAAAACCTATTTACACCCATGTGTTTTGTGTTTTCCTTGCAAAAGATCTGTCGTTTATGTTTTTGACCCCCTATTTGCACGGCTGGTCCTTGATGTAATCGAGCTGCCCCTCAGACCTTTCGGAAACCATTGGCTGTCGACAACGACTTTGAGTTCTGAGGCTGCGAACGTGAGCCAACTAGTCCTTCCGAGAAAAAAGAAGAAGAAGAAAACAAAACGAAGCATGGAGCACTATGGTGGATGCCCCCGTTCGCCATATTGCAAGAGAAGAAAAGGAAACCCAACGTAAAGTCAACCATGGTTTGTGGCTTGCTTGCAATATGTTTTGTTGGCATGCACCACGTGGCATCCCAAACTTCCAATTTGGTTAAGCCCGCCGGGAAAATGTTTGGGAAAACACACATTTCTTAAGCAAATGGAAGAAAACTAAAATCGTTGAAACGATGGAATCGTCGGTCTGGCCAAGGGGCATCCACTGAGACACCAGCGGGTGTAGCGGAGCTTTGGGGCCGACTCCCAACACCTGGCCACGGCGAGTCACGACGCAGCGGACGTCAAGCGTCGCGACTGGAGAAGCTATGTCTCACGGGACCTGGACGGGAAGGCGGGGGGGAGGAAGCCCAAATAAGGCCTCAAGACTTAAGAGCCTAAGAAGGGCGTTTTTTGGCTCCCCCCTCCCCTCCCTCCCCCAAAACCCATGAGTATCCACTGGATACCCTCCCTTTTTCTGAGACCATTCCCGGAAGACTTGGTTCCATTAGGGTCTTGTAAAAGCTTCCACGTGTTTTTCAGGAAGGTACACATCCTCTCATGGGAACCCCGGATTCAAGCGGTTACGATTTAATGAGAGATGGGTGGTCCCGTCTCCAGGAGGTACTTTTCACTCCGGGGTCTATATTATTAAACTGTTCAATACCTAAAACTATACACCAGTTGTTCAAGAAAGTGGTTTAAGCAATACCTCAGTTGCCCAAAGGGCTAAGAAAAAAAGGTCAACCTTTTGGGGTCATGACTCAACATGTACCAAAGCAGTTGACGAAGCCTCGAGGTGGCTAAGGACAATCCCACTGAACAAGGTTCAACAACTTTTCATTGCGTGTTGGCCCACAAAAGGACCCTGTTCCATGTTTAGCCTACCCTAGATCGGAACATCAACTTGGAGGAGACCCCAATTCGCATAGCTATCCTTGGGCCAGCAAGGCACAAGTCCCATGAGTCCCTGGTCGCAGATTCTCTTTTCCGCGCGCACGTTCTCACAAACATCCGCCCACTACATGAGCTGGCATCAAAAGCCACAGCTGCTGGCAAAGGCACAATGTGGAATATCCAGATCATAGGTGAGCCGTTGCTCTATCTCCCATCGTTGAGCTCATGGTGCTTGACCCGAAAACTGCAGGTACCGCCCAAACAGGGAACACCTCTTGACCAGGGCCTGCCACAAGTTAACTGGCTTGCTCACTTGCACAAAAAGGCCCCACACATACAAGGTTACCCTTTTGGAGCTATGACTAAATATGGACCGACCAGCGGAAACCAGCGTGTCAAAAGCCCGATTCGCTTTGAACGCAAGTGAGTTGGTGATTGAAGGGAGACAAAGAGGAGAAACCCAAAGGGCCAAGGATAGAACGTCCGAAAGGTAGATGGGGGCACCCAACTTGCCGCAACACTTCCCAGACATTCATCTGCAATTGTTGCTATAATTCCACGAGCTGATTGAAGTGATCCCCAAGTAAAGGACCTGAGAGTGAGCTCGTCATCTCAAAATAGGCCCCTCCCCTGGACACGAGGATCGGGATCCCCTCACGGGGATGAGTAACGCTTCACGAAGGTTCGGGGAAGCCATTTGATTTGGGATAGAAAGCCCGCAAATTGGGAAACTCCTCCACATTTGGAGTGTGATTTTTGTCGGGGGATTCCTTTTCACATTGGGGCAAAGGGAAACCGAAGGAGAGCCACCAACTTGGCCCCCCCCATTTTGACACACACACACACACCGCACCCATTTGAGCAGTTGATGTGTCAGAAGCCAGTCTCAAATTGAGTCAAGCGACTCGTCGCAACCCAAGCCGTGGCTTTTCTTTTTGAGCTCATCCAGCCAATCTCCGCAGACGGGTGTGTCTCTTAGACCCCTCGTGGATCCATATACCCCTATGGGCCACCAAGTGCTTGCCAGCCAAGCAGGAGGAACACCTCCTTGCTGGTTACCTACTATAGTTGGGGATCACTGGCGTTCCCCTTCAAAGTGGCAATCAAGTGGCTTTTGAAGGTCCAATAAACGGGGAACTGATGGACCTCTGCTTGTTTGGGGGAAAAGTGTGCCACTGAACAACTGGGACAACTGGTTTCTCGGAAACCCGCTCAAGATGGGTACCTCAAAAAGACACACCCGAATTTCTCTGCGGGCGATCAATTTGGGCCTGTCTCCAAAGCATCGGCTGCCTTTGTGAGCTGCTCTTAAGTGACCACAGGTGTCCTTTTCGAAAAATACACGGCTCTGGCAAATGGAACAAACAATCTAAGCCAGGACCACATATATCTAGCCAAACTAACCTAAACATGAGATCTATGAGAGTGACAAAGTCAAAGCACCACCGATGCTAGGACACGCCCGCACGTCAGCAAGGCACCTTTGATTTGACGTGGATCGCATTTGCTTCTTGAACTTGGTTGACGTTGGAAGGGGGGCAAAAATTTGAATCTGAGCAGCTAAGTGGTTGAATTTCAACCACTGAACCACAACAAGCAAAAATGTATATAACATGTTTCCCAACAAAAACCATGTGAAGGGCGAAACTAGGGGTACCTTCCCCATTCTTTCCAGGGATCCTTCTTTTCAGGAAACCACCAAAACCCCAGGGAAATGGCTGGCTTTTGAGAAGAACAATGGTTGAAAAGAATGGAAAAGGAATCAACCCCTAGAGCATTTGCTTCCTGAAGGATATCCAGCAACACACATTCCGAGATGTTATTTACTTAGCCTCTGCTCGCTTTAGGCGCCTGCGAAACAAGAAGCCGTCATGCTTTGCCTCCAGATGTGGGAAACCCAAGGAGTTGCTTCCAGCGTTTGAAGCAAAAATGTTACCCTGAAAAAAACCGGTTGACCAAAAGGTCGAAAAAGGTCAACTCGTTGTGGGCAAGTGAGAAATGAGAAAGCTTAGCCCAAACAGCACACACCTTGCCAATAAATGGACGAAATCCTGCACCACTTTCAAACAATTGGACGCCAATGTTAATTCGTTGGTATTTACAGGGGAATCGAACCATTTCAGAGGTTCTTGGGTGGATTTCGTCCTTCCACTGTTTGGTTCTGAGCACCTGGCACCTGCTCAACTTGTGCCGAGGCGCAAGACACATTCAACGCTTCGACGAAAGGTTCCACTAAAAAACCCAAGGATCCACCGAACACCTGCGCCATTCTTCAATCACGTCGCGTCTCAAGGACTCCCCAAGACAAAAAGTGATCCGCGCTGTGATCGGCTTGCGGCAAGTGGTTTGTTGGAACTGGGGTATCCCATAAGCCCGGCATAAGCCGAGGGCAAAACCCTGAAAGGGTTCATGGTTTAGGTGATAGCCCTCCCAATTGAAGGTCACTGATATAACGAATGCAGGTGGAGAGACTATGATGCCCCCTCGTTGTTGCCTCTGACGCCCCTCATGATACCTACGGGCTGTTCACCGATGAGACTGAATGGGACCTCTAGTCAAAATAGGCGCCCAAAAAGGGACCCCAAAAGCGAGTCTAACGTGAATGAACTCAGGAAGTGAGATTGTAGGGAGGAGCCACCGAGAAGAGAAAAACACTTCATCGCTGTTGACCCCCTGCAAACAGTTTAACTTTTTTGGTGGGTTGAGTGGAACACCCAGCTTGATTTCAACCAAAAAGCAAAAAAGTCAACAGATCCAACCCAATACTTCCAGTTGCTTAAGCCCCCCGGAAAGAAAAAAAGAAAATGAAAAAGTTATTTCCCGTAGTGGTCGATTCCTTTTGAAACCAACAGGCACAGATTCAAAAAAACACATATTGATTTAAGCCCCTGACTTTGAGGTGGCAGCAATCTGACTTTGAGACTTTGAGGGCACCACAGCAGGGGTGAATCTGGAATCACTTGAGAAAACTACGGATGACTTCGGACTCGACGTCGATTCGGTGCCAAGCGAACTCCACTCTTCGAATCGCATCTTCGCCGCTCAGAGCGGCAGCTCGGGTCTGGGGAATGGGTCGCCTCGGTTGGATCAGCGATGGAAGCTTCCAGAAGGCCTCGGTACATGGAACCGAGTCTTCCATTTGGCTGTGGCTCAAAACTAAAGAGGAGGGGCTACGCGGGTTTTGGTCCATGTTTCCACTTACCAGGGTTCCATTTTGGTACCGGTTTTTTGAGCCACAGCCATTTCGGGGTGGTGGGAGCTTCCAGGAAATCGCCTTGGTCATTTCAGGTCGATTCGCTTTGATTGGCGATGAACACCTTCCTCAAGCGAGGACGGTTCAACCCCATTAAAGTAATGGTTTACCCAATTTTCATGATGACAATCCTTGGGTTAAAGAATGGTGGTTACATAATCCCCCCATTGTTTTCATGGTGTTTTGACTCAAGGCTCAGTTGGCAGTTGATCAATATTCCTGTTTCCGGAAAACGCCATCTTCGCGAGAAAACAAGTTCTTTCGCGAATCTTTCGCGTTGCTCGAAGGTTCATCGAGGAAGGGGTCCACGCCACTGACTCCGAGTCGACTCGTTTCGGTTCATTTCTCTGGGTGAATTACAATGTTTCACCAACCTGGGATAAGGTGGTTGGGGGGCTATTCCCCACATCAACCACCATTTGGGGTGAATTCGGTCGTGTGAGGTCGTTATAATTCACCCAGATTCCTCCCGAGGCGCCGCAGGAGCGCCAGGGCTTCTTCTTCTGCGGCCAGCTGGGCGGCTTCACCGGGCGGCCCAGCTCCTGGCATCGAGCCTCCACCTCGCGAAGTGGAGCGAGGCGCGAGCGAGGCGCGGCCGAAAGTTGGGAGTGGCTGGGGGGCATTTTCGTTTGGTCCCGGTGCTGGGGATGTCGCCCACATGTTGGCTTCGATGCGGTTCTTTAAGTAAAAGGCCCGCTTTTTGAGGTTGGAAAGCCGTGCCAGTTTCTCAAAATGGAGCTCTGGAGCCTCTTTTAGTTGGTCTGACCTGAGTTCACTGACCCAACAAAATCCAAGGCGCCAACTCGGCAGGCTTGACTTGCGTTGCTTGCTGGTTCCATCCGCAGGGAATGAGTTGGAACGACCACAAATTTTGGGCGCTGTAGATCGCCCAGCAAAGGGAATCCCAAAGGTTAAAGTCTCAAGATCCAACCCAATAGCAGTAGAGATGAGAAACCATCCGCTATGGCTTCCTTGAAGGGAATCCCCTTCTTCATTCCCAACACTCGGATTCGGGCATTCTACCTATGGCACCAGCAAGTTTTGAGGGCTACGTCTATGTTTGAGGCTCCATGCCCGGCTTGGTTGGCTACAGAAAACCAAAGGGGAAACGGCCGATTTTTGTG